AACAAACCTGGTCTTTGCTTGGAAAAGAGACACTTATCTCTCTCTCCCAAGGTTGTTCACCATATTAATCTTTCATGAAAAGATAGTCCAGAACAAGAGAGTAAATGCCTTAGCTTGCAAGATGTACTAAAAACATGAGAAACCCCTGGAAAATTTATATACCGTTTGAGTCTCTTCTATGTTAACGTGCAGCCTAGGTAAGCCCATGATTTTGGTAGATTCATTTATAGGATTAAGAAATCCTCTTCTCCATTTGTCTTTTCTCCAGGATGCCCCACTTCCTGCTCTTTACCTCCCAGGGACCTCTCTTTCCAGTTCCTCTGGCTAGAAACATAAGCTTCTCTAAGAATTGTAGCTGCCTGTGACAGTACAGGCAGCTTGAGCCAGCCTTGCAGAAAAGCAATAAAAGAAAGGAGAGAAAATACTAATGAGGATTTCTACCCCTTTCTCTTCAGACTACTGGTCCCCCTTTCCTGGTTCAATTGCTCGGAGAATTAGATTTTCCCTCTCTCTTTTTTTTGTTTAATATTTAATGACCGAAAAAAAAAAAAAATCTAAAACCACAGCTTCTGGAAGAACCACTTGTTACTGCCCTCTTGTACCTCTCTTCAAACTTGACCTTGGCCTCCCATTGGGCCTTGCATTTAAGAGCAGGATCTCTGAAGACATCCTTGTTGATGACAGTTTTGTCCAAGGGGACATCCACAGAGTACCTTGTGAGATGAGGTGATTGTAGTTATAAACTTTCCCAAAAGATTTGATCTTTGACCACTTGGTGATCATCTTCTTGCCTGTGGCAGCTGTCACTTTGTGGGGGTAGTGATCAATTCCAGCTACCAGAGCATGGCTGCAGGGGTGGTCTGAGGTGCCATCATCAGTGTTCTTCATAATGACAGTTTTGCATCCAGAGTAGCATCCAGCTAGGATCAGCATCATTTTCTTGGATTTCATAAACTTGCCTATTTCGACAGCAACCATCTGGGCCTACAGCAGAAAGGAAGAAAAGACACTTCCCTTTCTTGGGGTTTTTGATGTCAGCATTTTCATCACTGCTACTGTCATGCAGTTAAGCCACTGGATCTGGCTTCAGGGCAGGGCCAGGAAAGAAAATGGGAGAAAGAAAGAAAAGGGAAAAGGGTTTTCCACCCATATTTTCTAGGTTACAGGGACCCCAAAGTTATGGCCAGAAAGACAAAGAGTTTTTCTTGGAGTTACTGCTGCCCACATCCATAATTGTGCATGGTTCTGCAGTTACCATCATCCTCAGGAAAAGCTGAAACAGAAAACAAAAAAAAAAACATGGAAAAACAGATCCTTGTAAGGATCATTTTTCACATTTTGGCTCCCTCTCCAATCTGCCTGCTGTTATTTACTCTTATGTTGTTGCTTTTTGTATTCTATCCAGCCAGAGTTTTTGGTGTCTGTTAGTGAGAGAGAGAGACACTATAGTGGGCCTTTTTGATCTTGGTTGGAATCCAAAACACTATGTTTTAATCGAAAGCCTTAAAATATTTCATTAAAAAAAAACCTCCACACTAAGTGATGGTGTGGGGGAATAAAAGAATATTCATTTATTAAGAATACTGATGTCTTCTCAGTTGCATATCTTTTTTTTTTTTTAAGACAAGTGTTTTTTTTGTTTTGTTTTTTGAGACAAGAGTTTTGCTCTGTCTCTCTGGGTAGTGTGCAGTGGCATCATCGTAGCCCAACTCCTGGGCTCAAATGATCCTCCTGCCTCAGCCTCCTGAGTAGCTGGGACTATAGGTGCACATCATGACACCTGGCTAATTTTTCTATTTTTAGTAGAGACGAGGTCTTTCTCTTGCTCAGCCTGGTCTTAAACTCCTGAGCTCGAGCAGTCCTCCCACCTCAGCATCACAGAGTGCTAGGATTACAGGCGTGAGCCATGTGCCCGGCCTTCAGTTGCGTATCTTGGACATCTGTGATTGTGGTCACACAGAACCTGTACTCCAGGCACAGAAGCTATCAGTGTTCCTTTCCACCATAACTTTCTCCTTTGCTGGTCACTCTCCACACTTCTTTCCATCCATTGGAGAACAGCTCTTCTTGCACTCACTAGGAGTCTGGAAAACATATGGAGAGGCAGGGACAGAGATATGTAGGTCCTTACAGACTTTAGTGAATGACTGCCACATGGGTGCTTCCTGAGCAATAAAGCACAGCACTCCAAGCTGTTGGTAGATGGACACCTAAAGGAAGTGTGTTCCTCAGCCTCTCTGTAGCGGTGTGAGTGCTGTCCCAGCAGCCTCTGCTGAAGTTGCCCACTGCCCATGGCATTCCCATTTTACACTCTACTCTTGGGCTCTGGTCTATGGGGCAAAAGGGGTTTGTTATATAAACATATTAGCTTTTCTTTCTGGAATTCTGGTGTCAGAAAACTATGATATTAGTATAATATAAATATTCTGTTACAAGAATACAGTATAGATTGCAGATAGTTTACTTGTATAATAGCTGGGTTCTATATTGCAATCTTCAACAGTCCTATCTATTTTAAAGAATTTAAGAGGGAAAAATAGTTTCTTTTAGTTGTTCAGACATTACTATTTTTGTTGCTTTTCTTTCATTCAGGCTTCCCTCTTATTTCTCTTCAACATAAACAATTTCCTTTAGCATTTCTTTTAGAATAGATCTATTGGTGATGAGTGCTCTTATTTGTATTTCCATCTGAAAACTTTATTTCACCTTGATTCCTGAAGGATACTTTTGCTGTTTATAGATTTCTGAGTCAATAGATCTGTCTTTTCAGCATTTTGAAAGTGTTCTGCCACTGTTTTATAGCCTTCATGATTCCTGATGAGAAATCCACAGTCATTTGAATTGGTATTCCCCTATAAAAATATGTTCTTTTTCTCTAGCTGCTTTTTTCCCCTGTATCTTTCATTTTCAGCAGTTTGTTGATAATGTGTGTAGGCATAGTATTCTTTGATACTATCTTTGTTGGAGTTTGCTGAGATTCTTGAATCTGTAAATTTATGTCTTTCACCAAATTTGGGGAATTTCAGCCACTGTTTCTTTAAATATTTATTGAACAGTCTTTCATCCTTCCTTCTGGAACTCCAGACATGAATGTTAGACTTTTTGATACTGTTGCTTAGGTGCCTAAGGCCTTGTTCATTTTTTTCAATTTCTTTTCTCAGAAGTTACCTTTATTATTCAGATTGGATATTTTCAATGGATTTATTTTCAAGTTCACAGATGCTTTCTTCTTTCATCTTCATTCTGTTATTGAGCTCATCCTGTGAACTTTTTATTTCTGATCATTTTTTTCAGTTCTAAGATTTTCAGGGGTTTTTTTTTTTTGTAGCTTCTATTTCTTTTCTGATAGCTGTCTTTTCATTCATTTCAAGCGTGTTTACCTTTACCTCATAAAGCATAGTTAGAAATGCTTTTAAAAGTTTTTTGTTGTTTTTGCTAATACATCCAACATCTGGATTATTTTGGGGGTGGCATCTGTTGATTGTTTTTTCTCTTAAGATTTTTTTTTTTCCTTTTTTTTGAGACAGAGTCTGGCTCTGTTGCCTGGGCTAAAGTGCCGTGGCGTCAGCCTAGCTCACAGCAACCTCAAACTCCTGGGCTCGAGGGAATCCTCCTGCCTCAGCCTCCCGAGTAGCTGGAACTATGGGCATTTGCCACCATGCCTGGCTGATTTTTTCTATTTTTAGTCGAGACGGGGTCTTGCTCCTCTTCAGGCTGGTCTTGAACTCCTGATCTTGCGCAATCCTCCCGCCTCGGCCTCCTAGAGTGCTAGGATTACAGGCATGAGCCACCGTGCCCAGTAGGATTATAGGCGTGAGCTACCGCGCCCAGCCTTTTCCCTTAAGATTTGAGCACATTTTCTGGGTTCTTTTTTATGACAAATAATTTTGGGCTGTAGCTTAGACATTTCAAGTGCTATGTTATGTAAACTCTGCATCCTATTATAATCCTCTGGAGCATGTGTTTTGTTTATTTTTTGTTTTGTCAGGCAATCAATTTGCTTAGGTTCATACTGTAAGTTCTGTTTTGCCTTCTGTAGTCAGTAGTTCTAATCTCAGTTCAGTTTTCAAAATCTGTCCTGGGCACCCATCCAAGAGAACATATACCTAATATTCCATTTTTATGAAGAGCAAAACCAGGAAAAATTAATCTGTGCTGGTAGAAGCCTTCATGGTAAAGAAAGGGAGGGAGCGTGAGTGGAGCTTCTAGAGGGTGCTGGTTTAACAGTATGTTGAGTTTTTTAAAATATCTAGCTGTACACTTTGAGATATGTAATTGTGTGTGTTATGCTTTACTAAAATGTTTTTTTGAGTCTTGGTTTTAACTATTACTAAAAAAACTATAATAAAACTAAAAGCTACACAGCCTAGTTTCCATTATATTGGTCATTGTACTTTCAGGTTAAGAAGTACAAAAATAGTCCTTAGCTTAGTTGAAATGTCAATGTTTTAAAAGAAGGCATATTTTTAATTTGAAACTATAGAAATTTTAGAATAATTGTAGTCTTAATTCAACTAGTAGTAAGCCTTCCTCTTACAGTCAGGGCTTTCAACTTCTTACTTCTTGCACATACAACATGTTTTCAAGATCTGTTGCGTTGCGTGGAATTTCGATGTTTGGGTACATCTGCCCCCACCAGGGGGGAAAACAGGCAATAACAAAAACAAAAGCATTGATTCTTAAAAATCAAGGGCTTGATCTGATTTCAGTTCTATTGTATATGACTATGTAAAGCATTAAATTTGGTTTTTGTTAATTGTAACTCAACATGATAAACTAGTATCTCTAAAAGAATGACTAGAAAAAGCTTTCTTTATTAAATCTGAAGTGACTTTTTGTTAAGAAAGGAGAAGATGAGCAAAAATGTGTTTTTGGTTCGTTGTTACCCTGAGAGGAGGAAATATAAATAGCTATTCTTGTTCTTTCCTTCCTTCTTACCAAGAGAAATTACAAGCAGGTAAGCATGCCAATCCATTACCTGTCATTGTTCTTTTTAACAGTCAAGTCCATCATCTCCAGAACCGTCTAGTCATCCTGCAGAAGATATTAGTGCAAACTCCAATGGCCCAAAACCTGCAGAAGTTGTACTGGATGATGACAGAGAAGATCTTTTTGCAGGTAATTGTTGTATCTTTATTTTTAAATAATGACCAATAGTAGTATATATTCTGTTAGATAGAAAATACTCTCTAAAACAAAACTGAAATTCTGTGTAAAGTGTTAGTGATAGCTCTTCTTGTTAAAACTTAGAAGGATAGGGAATTCCCAATTAGATCATTCTGTGAAAAATATAGACTGTTGAGAGAAGCAAAAAAGTGGTCCCTTCTGGTTTTAAGCATTTGAAAATAAATTCCATGTTATAATTGGATTGTTTTGGTCAGCACTTAGACTTAAATGCTAATGGTTGTGGCATTCGTACTTTAAGAAATAGCAGTGATTGTATTTTTTATTACATACAAGTTGTCACAAAGCAAAATTAAGCTATGGATTTAAGAATCTATTTCTATTCCATTTGTGTGTGAAATTTGTTTTAATAAGTTACTGTACCACCTTTTCCATTTTGATTCACTTTTAGGTAAGTAAATTGATGCTTGAGAAATGTATTTTTGATATGAGGGCAGGATTTGGTGTAGTCCATCCTTTCTTTAAAACAATTAGACTCAAACAAGTATCTGCTTTAAGATTAAATTTAAGGTACAAATTAATGTTTTAACATTAAAAAGCAAAATCTTCCTTGCTCTTGATAATACAAAAAATTAAAATAGTCAATCTTCATTTGTTTAACAGCTTAATGTACCTGAACTGGCTTTCATTGAGTTAAAATTAAATAATAATGGTTGGGTCCTTTTGTGATTCATAACCGTGATGACTGGATTTTCACACTAATGTGTGAGATGTGCCTCCCTCAAACCTTGTTACAATGTTGGCACATTACCCATCTGACTTGAAAAAGGAAAAAAAAATTTAATACTATGTCCTCAACTTTCATAGTGGTTCAGTAGTCAGACCATTCTGTATTTTTCATACAAGTGTGTTTAAGGATAACAATCTTCCAATCCTCCCTCCCGAAAGTCCGTATCATTTCCAACTTGCTCAGTTCCATGAAAAGTTTTTACCACAGATGAATTCATGTCAGAAAATTTAAGTGTGATACCAAATACTAAAATACCAATATGTGGGAGTTTTTTGGTTTTCTGGGTTGTTTTTTTTTTTTTTTTTTTTTTGAGCCAGAGTCTCACTCTGTTGCCCAATTAACCCAAGTTATAATATTCCAGTATTCCTTTTTGTTGCCTTTCTTGGACTATTTTCCAGGCGGTCCTTGAAAGTTCTTTCAGGGCATTTGTGTTTTAAGCTAAAAGATGACGTAAGACCTTTCTCTACTAAGCAAGTACTAATCTAAAATTGTGTGTATTCCTCCAGCAGTATAGGATCATTCATAGAGGTTTTGGATTGTCCATTTTATTAAAGACTCTTTCACCTTATAGTCTCAGAATTCTATATTAAGGAGTGTACTGAAACCTTACTCTAACAACAGAACTTTGTGTGTGAGTGTGTGTGTGTGTATGTATGTGTGTGCAAGGAAAGGTTTTCTTACAATATGCACAGCTGATCAGACAGTTAGCCAAGTGAGGACTATACAGTGATATTTGCCCGCTTAGTTGAATTTATAAAACCTTTATAGTGTTTTTGTCTACATAGCAGCCTGTGCTAAATTCTGTGATTCAGATATGGTCAATGTCAGTTTTTATTTTAAAAAAGAGAGTGATGGGGACTAAAGAACAATAAACATAGTCATCTGTTTGCTTTGTTAATCTACAAATATAAACACTTTTTTATTTTTTGACAGGGTCTCGCTCTGTTGCCTGGGCTGGAGTGCAGTGGTGTTATCATAGCTCACTGCAATCTCAAACTCTTGGGCTCAAGTGATCCTCCTGCCTCAGCCTCCAAGTAATTGGGACTACTGGCCTGTGCCACCACACCTGGCTAATTTTGTTTTTTAATTTTTGGTAGAGACGGTCTCGCTGTGTTGCTCAGTCTGGTCTGGAAATCCTGGCTTTAGGCAGTCATCCCACCTAGGCCTCCCAAAGTGCTGGGGTTACAGAAGTGAGCCACAACGCCCAGCAATGAATACTTTCTGTGCTTTATCTTTTATCTTAAACTCAGCTGTATTTTATAATGACATCATTAGGTGATCTAAGACATCCGATTATTTTTATATGAATGACTTAATACTATACTTGGTTCTTATTTATAATACATTTAAGCAGGTATATCATTTCTCCTTTTACGGAGGTGTGTGGTTCTAGGAAACCATAGTGTATATTACCAGCATGGTGAAAACTCTTGTCCAGTAATGAGAACATGTACTTGATTTGTTTCTCCTATACCAGAAGATAAAATATAGATATTATTCTAGTGACCTAGCCATTTGAACTTTAAAACCATAAGGAGGTTATATTAGTACATGTGCTAATATGTTTTTGGTAGCATTTCAAATAGTGTATGTCAGAAAGTGGTACCAGAAAAAATTCAACTGTCACATACATTGTAGTTATTAGCTTATGTAGAGTGTTCACCAAATGTTAATATATTAATAGTTAACTATAGAACTCCTCTCCTCCACCATTTGTTACATCTGACACTAATGCTTCACTGAGCACACCTCAGGAAACTGTCCTAGAGGAAGGTAAGTATGAGCAAATTACCAATCCTGAAATTATCCTAGACCTTTAGAACTTGTACCATGCAAAGAATTTAAGGCAGACTATTTACTGTTAGTAAATAAATAAATAAATCCTACTGTTTATGAAGCAGCATGTTACTCAATGTAAAGAGCACAAAACCAAAATGTGATTGAAAAATTAAAATGGGCGGGGCACGGTGGCTCATACTTGTAATCCTCGCACTTTAGGAGGCCACAGCGGGAGTATAGCTTGAGCCCAGGAGTTCAAAACCAGCCTGGGCAACATAACAAAGACCCCTGTCTCTACGAAGGAAAAAAAAAATTTAGCTGGGAGTGGTGGCTCATGCCTCTAATCCCAGCTATTTAGGAGGCTGAGGCAGAAGGATCACTTGAACCGCTGAGATTGAGGCTGCAGTGAACAAGGGTCACATCACTACGCTCCAGCCCGGGTGACAGTGAGACCCCATCTCTAAAAAAATTTTTGAAAAAAAGTTAAAATGACTTTATCTGTACTGATTTCCCAATAACATTGCTATCTCTTTCACAATTTTTTTGTCTGTGGATCTGTTGCCAATAACAGTGCCTCTTTCACAGATACTTTGGGATTTTTTTGTTTTGTTTACTGCTTGTTTGGTGTTTGCTTATTGGCAGTTAATTGCTCCTAGCTTTGATAACACTGCTTTTTTATTTTTATTGCTCACTGGTTTCATTTCTTTAAGAAAAGGATTATAAATACCAGCAATCTTCACAGCCTGAGTTGCATATAACCTTTTGTTTTTTTATGTTATGGTCATCTGTAATCTATTTCAACACCTATAGTCCATTTTCCTTCCTCATTACCATAGTTTGAAAGATTTTAGTTATTAATAGTTTCTACTTTTAATATAAAAATATAAGGAGATCTATGCCAAGTAAAGATCTCGTCAACGTGAGATAACCAGTAAGAATAGCTTAATAAAATGTTATTTTAGGTAAATATGCTATTACTACTATACTTTTAGACTATTAAAATTAAACCATTACTACTGTCCCAAACCTCTAGGAATCTAAGAACCTCAGGTTAGAAACCACTGGTCTGATCCTGTGTTTCCCTTATAGTCCTGCCTTCCCTTTCCTGTTATCAGTTCTATAGACCAGCAGAGCTGTGACTTACATTATGCCCACTGATTGTAATATTCACTTTCCTGGCTCTGCCTTTGCTTATGCTGTTATATTTCCTGGTCTTTTCTCTACCTGTCTAAATCTTCTTAGATCGGTTTCATAAACTACTCCTGATTTTCCACAGCCCTAAGTTATTGTCTCTTGTCTCAACTCAAATTGTAGTGTTTGTTCTGTAGTTTGTATAGCAATTAGGAACATTGTAACATTCTTTTTATTGTTCTCTTGGCTGTTTTGTCTTTTATTAATATTATTATTTAACATTCCACATGCTTATGTCTTGTTTTCTCCAACTAGATTGTAAACTCCCTGAGGGCAGATATGATATTTTACATTTCTTCATTGCCCTTAGCACAATATTATGTACCCTGTAGATGTTCAGTTTTTTTATTTGGTTTGATTTTTTAAAATGTGTTTAGTTACAGATTTTTTAAGTGAATGTGCATTTTAAGTTAAAACCTAAACACCTGTTTGCTTTGTGTCATATTTGTGTATCTAATGGTATCTAGTAATCTTTGGCAGTTAATTGCTTTGAATTACTAACTTGTGGCTTTTCTATAACCAGTTTTTACTTCTAGTTAAAATAGTTCTGGGTAGCCTTCCACCATAAGATTTGTTTTCATATGTATAAAATAATCATAATATTAGCCTGAATAAAATATTTGGAAGGTCAGTTACCACAAGCATAAGATATATTACAGATCCAAACACAAATATGGAATGTTTTCTCCTAGCCTTATCCCTGCCAGTAGTATAGGTAATTAAGCTGACTTAATAGGATTCTTCCTAAAACCAACAAATTAACTGTTTTAAAGTTATAATAAACAACCAAGGAAGGATTCATTAAATTCTTTTGTAATGATTATTTTAAAATATTATTTTGATATTTGTAAATATTATAAAAATATTTTTTTATAGTTCATTAACTGCTACAGAGAATATTAGGGGTTTGCTGCCAGGTATTCTTAACTAATTTGTTTAATTTATATCTAGAAGCTACAGAGGAAGTTTCTTTGGACAGCCCAGAAAGGGAACCTATCCTTTCCTCAGAACCTTCTCCTGCAATCACGCCTGTCACCCCTACTGCACTCATTGCTCCTAGAATTGAATCGAAGAGTATGTCTGCTCCTGTGATCTTTGATAGATCTAGGGAAGAGGTATAAGAAAATGTTTGTATTTTAAATTTATATGTAAATATATGTCTTTAATTCCATACCCAATATCACTTTTCTGTTAATCATTCCTAATCAAGCCTTTCAGATATTTTGGGAAAAGAACATTGGACTAAAGAAGTTAGGGGATCCAGCTACTTGTTTTATCTCCGCCACTTTACCCAGTGACCTGGGTATATCACTTACCTTCTTAAGTCAAGCAGTTCGTCATTTGTGGTCTTATGATTACAATTTGTGCCGGTCAGTGTTCCTATGTTGATCAGATAAGATGATGTATAAAAGTGCTTCAAAAACTGTTAATCACAGCAAAGTGGTATTTTGAGTAATTTTATTTAATAAAGTGAAATTTGTAATAAATACTGTTGATACATGGACATTGCTATCTTGCCTTTATTTTTTAAAGGAAGGAATGTATATCAATTAAAGATATATTCTCATGACTTGGCAGTAATTTCTGATAAAGTGAATTTGGAAAAGAGAAAATGATATGGAGGTTATTTTAATAGCAAAATTGTATATTTTAAATTCTTTCCTATAGAAATAGATTGTTAAAATGATTATGATTAAATAACAACCACATGTGAAAACATGAATAATCTCACAAACATAATATTAAGGGAAAGAAGGAAGACAAAAGAATATTTACCATATGATTCTAATATAGGAACGTTAAAAACGGAAAACTAATATGCGGTGGTAGAAGTCAGAATAGTGATTATGTTGGTGGGTGAAGGATGGGTTGTGACTGGAGGGAAAGCACGAAAGGGCCTTTTAGGCACTTATGGTTTGTGTTTTTGATCTAGGTTCTGGTTACAAAGGTGTGTTCACTTTTTGAAAGTTTGTTGAGCTGTACACTTATAATTTACATACCTTTCTGTGTTTATGTTATGATTCAAAAAAGATTTACTTTAAAAAATCTGTACAAGAAGGCAAGCTTGAAAAAAAGATTATGATTAGAAAAAACTTTTAGCTAATCAAGACTATTAATATTGCCTTGAAAAATTTGCAAAGTTTAATAATCTCTGACCTTTCTTCTTAAGAATAACAAAGCTTTCCTGCAGAGCTGCTATTTGAATTGCTTATTTACAATTCCATTAAAAAGGGCTCCTCTTAGTCTCATAGGATTATCATTTTTCCCACTTCACTGCCTTTTTTCGTGAACTTTATAGTTCTTTCATTGACTTCAAGAAGAAGATGTGTTTATTAGGTAATTAGAGAAATCATGATAGTAAAGTTGCTCTTAAGTATCATCATTTCTGCTGCTATTTAAGATTCTGTTGGTGAAAGTAATGACTATTCCCTGGTTATTAAACAGTAGAGATACAAATTTGAAAAGAGCTGTTATTAAAATTAATTAAGGAGATAATTACTTTAATCGGAGTCTGAAGATTCAGTATGTAGAACAAAAAAAAATCCACAATATTTATATTTATGCAGAAGAAATCTGAGGAGTTATAAGAACACAAGAATTTCTATCTTCTCCAAGTGATCTTTTTCCTGTTGTCTTTGTGTATTTTTTTTTTTACATAGTGAGGAAATGTGAAAGATTTTATTTTTCAGAAGTGGAGTGCTGAGTGGCTTTTTACATATTCATTGTGACAGTGACTCTAATAAAAGAATGATAAAATTACAGTTCTTAGTGTTATGACAATAATATAAATTGGAATCTTTGTTAACATCAAAAATATTATACTTTCTAGATTGAAGAAGAAGCAAATGGAGATATTTTTGATATAGAAATTGGTGTATCTGATCCAGAGAAAGTTGGTGAGTCACTATTTATCTATTGTATTTTGTACTCCTTTTTTATTAGTTTAGCTCTATGGTGTTTTTCTTTGCTAAATGCATCAGCACAGTATTAAAATTAGTTTTATTTTTAACCCACCCAATCACAACAAACAGAGTTTTATTTTTTTTATTTTTTTTTTTTTTTGAGACAGAGTCTCACTCTTTTGCCCGAGCTAGAGTGAGTGCCGTGGCGTCAGCCTGTCTCAGAGCAACCTCAAACTCCTGGGCTCAAGCGATCCTCCTGCCTCAGCCTCCCGAGTAGCTGGGACTACAGGCATGCGCCACCATGCCCAGCTAATT